ATACCAGAGTGTTACAGCAATTTAAGCAGGCTGCTTTAACAGCTTTTTTAGCGCTGCCACAATTACATGCTCCAACTTTGCCGTATACCAAAATTTTACAAAAACCAAATGAATCCTTCTTTAATTTTGTTGACAGGCTGAGGGAAGCGATTGATAATGCTCCTAATGTCACCCCAGACCTTAAAGTCATTTTAACCAAAGAAATTGCCGTTCAAAATGCTAACCCGACTTGTAAACAACTTATAGCTTCCCTACCACCAGGAGCATCTATCACTCAAATGATAGAAGCGTGTGCAAGAGCTCCGTTAGTGGAAGAGGAGGCTAAAGCACAAATCCATGCAAACGCTTTAGCAGCGGCTCTAAAAACTAACACTCTACGGGGCCGAGGGAATTGGGGCTCTAAATCGAAATGTTATCAATGCGGACAGGAGGGTCATTTTAAACGTAACTGCAAAAAGACAACAGGAGAAAAACAGTCAGTAAATGGAAATTGTATGCGTTGTAACAAATTTGGCCATAAGGCAGCTGAGTGTCGCTCAAAGTTTAAAAAGGATGGTACCCCTCTTACTATGTCGGGAAACGGGAACAGCCGCGCTTGGAGGGACGCGGCCAAAAAATATCCCCAGAACCCATCAAAGTTCCTGGCTGCCTCGACGAGCTGTGCTCCGCCACCCGCGGAAGCGCAGGAGTCGATTTAGCCGTGGCAGAATCCGTAAATATTACTGATGAAAAGGTACATGTACTTCCTTCTACTGTTAGTGGACCTCTAGGTTATGGCCTATCTGCATTGCTCATAGGACGCTCATCTGCCTCAAAAAAGGGAATTTTTGTTCTCCCTGGTTGTATTGATGCTGATTATACTGGACCTATTGGAATTATGGTAAAAATTTTCTTCCCACCCGTTCATATTCCGGCAAGTAGCGCTATTGCACAACTTATTCCTTTTAAAGCTGTAGTCCCTCAAAAGGGAGAAAGAAGCAGAGGGGCAGGTGGTTTTGGTTCTACAGGTGTCCCTAATATTGCCTTCTGTCAACTTATCAGTGCGGAGCGTCCTAGGTGCAATGTCAAAATTTCTGGTCCACAGGGTGTGATTCTCCCTAATGTTCCTATGATGCTTGATACTGGTGCTGATGTTACTGTTCTTCCCATTTCAGTCTGGCCTTCCATATGGGAGCTAGATAGCGCGGGTTCAACCATTTCAGGCATTGGGGGAAGTCGCCTAACACAGGTCAGTAAAAATTTTGTTCTTTTTACGGATCAAGAAGGACATCAAGCGTGGGTGAAACCCTGTGTCCTGCACACATCATTATCCTTGCTGGGTAGGGACGTACTGTCTCAGTGGGGTGTCAAACTGACAACAAATTTTTGATCGGGGCCATTGACGGCAGCTCTCGCCCTACACTGAAATTAAAATGGAAAACGGAAACTCCCGTTTGGGTTGATCAATGGCCCTTACCTCAAGAGAAGCTGCAACACGTTCAGGAGTTAGTACAAGAGCAGTTAGACTTAGGCCACATTAAACCTTCTGTTAGCCCATGGAACACACCTATTTTCACAATCCAAAAGAAGTCAGGAAAATGGAGATTATTACATGACTTGAGGGCAGTAAATGATAGAATGGTTGATATGGGTGCCCTTCAGCCTGGCTTGCCCTCTCCAGCTATGTTGCCACAAAATTGGAACTTGTTAATTATTGATTTGAAAGATTGTTTTTTCACAATTCCCTTACACGAGGAGGATAGTGAAAAATTTGCATTCACAGTACCGTCTGTGAACCGTGCCGCTCCAGCAAAACAGTATGAATAGGTTGTATTGCCCCAGGGCATGAAAAATTCCCCAACAATTTGTCAATGGTTCGTAGATTTAGCTTTGCAACCATGGAGAAAAAATAATCCTGAGCTCATTACCTATCATTACATGGATGACCTATTAGTAGCCAGTCCTCAACCACTGACCCCTGAGAAAGAAAAGGAACTTGTTCACAATCTGCAAGCATTCGGCCTAGTAGTTGCAGCAGAAAAAGTACAAAAATTAGCGCCCTGGAATTATCTTGGCCTGTGTATCACTGAAACAAGAATCAAGCCACAGAAAACTAATATTGTTCCAAACATTCATAATGTCAATGATGTACAAAAGCTAGTAGGTGACATTCAGTAGCTGAGAACATTTTGTGGAATTACCAATACAGATTTAGCTCCTTTATTTGCATTATTGAAAGGCAGTTCGTCGCCTGCTGATCCTAGATCTCTTACACCTGAAGCCGCAGCAGCCCTCGAGATAATCTCGCAAAAAATTCAGGACTCAGGGATAGATAGACGAATCCTTAACTGTCCATTTACCATACTCATGTATAATCAGAACACAGAGGTCGTAGCAATAATAGCGCAATTGCCTGTCAATCGATCTATGATTTTACTAGAGTGGGTTTTTCATAGCAGTACTTTGAAAGCCACTGTCACTACTAGAGCAGATGCGATAGGACAACTACTTCTCAAAGCGAGAGAGCGTCTATGCACTCTTGCGGGATATGACCCAGAAAAAATCATTGTACCTGTTAAAAGTTTAACTTTAGTCGATTGGTGGATTCAAACCTCTGAGTGTTTTGCTTTGGCTACCCTTGGTATTCAGATAGATAATCACTATCCTAACCATCCATTGTTCAAAACTTCGTTAGTATTTGAGGAGATGCCATTACAGCAACAAAAACCTATATCAAATGCACTCACAATCTTTACCGATGCCAGCAGTAAAACTCAAAAGTGTGGTTATGCCTATAAAGATGGCAATGGCAATTGGGTTTCTCAAATAGAACAATTAAAAGGATCAGTTCAGATTTTGGAATTAAGAGCAGTTCTAATGGTATTTCAATCATTCCGTAACATCTCCATTAACATTGTGTGTGACTCTAAATATGTTGTTGGAGTAGTTACACGCCTTTCGCGTTCTTTATTGGGATCTTTTACCAACAAAGTGCTCATGGCCCTCATTATCCAAATGTGGAACGAAATTAATTTCAGGCGTTTTCCTTGGTGGATTACGCATATTCGGAGTCACCTCAATTTGCCCGGGGTATTGTCCGAGGGCAATGCCTACATAGATACTCAGGTGGCATCCCCAGTTTTACAAAACTCCTCCATACAACAAGCGACGTAGTCACATGCATTTTTTCACCAATCTGCTCGAGCCCTTCAGAAAACGTTTGGTCTCTCTCGACAAGACGCTAGGGCTGTAGTGGCCGCCTGTCCTGATTGTGCCAGACTCACACCACTTCAACAGGAAGGCACAAATCCCAGAGGTTTGCAGCCTCGACAGCTTTGGCAAACCGATGTTACTGAGTTTGCTCCCTTTGGGGTCCTTAAGTATATTCACGTAACCATTGATACTTGTTCAAAAGCTGTTTGGGCGACTGCCCATAAATCCACTAACGCTGCCGCCTGTGTTCAGCATTGGACATCGGCTATGGCTGTGCTCAGCTGCCCTGAAACCATAAAAACAGACAATGCCCCTGCGTATCTCAGCGCTCGAGTGCGTACCTTTTTGCTGCAATGGCATGTGAAACATATTACTGGCATCCCCTATAACTCAGGAGGACAAGCCATCATTGAACGCGCCCATCAATCTTTAAAACATTACCTTTCCATATTTAAAAAAGAGGGGGAGAGGAGTCCTCACGCCATAGTGGCAAAAGCCTGTTATGTACTGAACTGGTTGAATCCTCGAACAGAGAGTACTGAACAACCAATTTTTAATCATTTTATCAGCAATCCTAAGGATTTTTCACCCCATAACATTGATGTACAGACATTCAACCCGGTTTCAAATTGCTGGTCAGGACCTTATACCTTGCTAACATGGGGTCGGGGCTATGCATGTATCTCCACAGGTTCAACAACGAAATGGATTCCTGCTAAATGGGTTCGTCCCTGGATTGACAATCAACCAATAGATTCATCGAAACAGAAGGAACAAGACAATACGAACGATTAGATGGACAGGAGAGATCGATGGGAGGAACACCGAAATAGGCTATTTTGGCCCCCACGACCTCATGAAGAAGAACGGATATTAGATAAGTTG